ATGGAGACTGTGGAAAAATTGAAAAGGGATGAACTGATGAAGGCGGGCAGCTTTCTCTGGCCCGGCCCTGTGGTGATGAAATCTGGATATATGAGAGGATGAACATGATGGAGAAGGCGGACAAATGGAATGATAGTGAAGTCCGAAGAAATAGAAGAAGACAGAAGATGTAAAGTGAATGAAGGCAGAGGAGCCGGATGGTTATCGATGCGCATGGAGAAGGCAGTGGAACTGAGATTGATCATATGACTGAGAGTTGTTCATTCCATGGACGGACGGTCGAGATGTGTAGTTGCATTAGGCGGGAAGATATTGTAATGCTTTTATGTATTTTTTTGAATATAATGCTTTTATGTATATATATAAACTAATACATAAAAAACAAAATAAAAAATGTTTCTGCAAATAGAGTAATCGCACACCTATTACCCTTAGGTCTTAACAAAGCATAAGTGAGGCATACATCCATAATCGCACACCAATCCAAGATTCAATGACGGTGGTCATTGAATGGCATAGTCGCTAGAGAGGTCCGGCGAAAGAGGTCTGTCATAGTCACTTTAGAAACATGTTTTCAAGATTAACGGAATCAAGCAACCAAATACCATGCGGGTGGAGGCTTGGCACGACCCTGTCGATATTCAACACTTGAAATCAAACCGACTTGGAATGCTTATCATGGTGGATGGGGATTGGGGAGGTATGAATATCTAAACCCATCACTGTCTCAAATCAATTTTCGTGCATGTAGATATGGTCTATGCTCATGATATATATGTTTTTGCATGAACTTAATTAGAACTATAATTAAGTTTAGCGCCAATTTGGATTAATCATAAACATTATGAACTGATCACCTATAATTAAAGAGATTGACTATAAACATTATGAACTGATCACTATAAAAAGTTATAGTCATCATTTTCAGTTTGGAATTGAGATGCTTTAAGAAAATAGGATAAGCATTTTTGTTTAACGAATACTATCATCTAGAATATGAAAGAATGGCATGAATATAACTCTTGGGCTTTTAAGAGACATAAATGTGACCAAAAATTGAATGGACAAAAAAGTGAGCAGCGGACGTTCTCCCACGTCTCCCGTCTCTTCTTTTCCAAGACTCCAACGCTCCCCTGCGTTTCACACTCTCACCTGCGCATAGTTATTTCTTCTCTTCTTCTCCTCTCCAATTTTCTGCCTCCCCTCCACTATGCTGCCACGATGGCCGCCTCCTCTTTGCCGTGCTGTGCTTCCCATCGCATCGCCTCTTCGGACACTCCTTCGCATCGCATCGTTGCGCCTCGCTCAGATCCGGGGGATGGGGGCGGCTAGAGGGTTCAACGGCGAGTGGTCGGGATGGGATGTTGGATGTGGGGCTGGGAGGGGGTGGATCGGGGTTGTGTCGTTCAGAGCTGTAGCTGGATCTGGGGGAGTGGGATGGGTCTTGGCCAGGGGCCAGGGCAGAGGATCATGGGAGTGGGGTTGGGCTAGAGGTGGGGCGGGGAGAGGTTGATCGGGGCTGGAACTAAGGGAGTGGTCTGGAGTGGGACAAGGGGCAGGACTCGTGGTGTCGACCGCCGGAGAGGGGCGACGACAAGTTACCTGCGGCGATGGGAAGTGGTGGTGGTCGGCATTGGGTGGAGGTGGGAGGCCAGGTGGAGGTGGGAGGCCAGGTGGAGGTATAAAAGCAGTGGGAACAGGGGGCGGGGGAGTTGGAGACAGGCTGAGTGTCGGTGTGGTGTTGGGGTGGCGGCTGAACAGCCGCAGTGCTGGCGGCAGCGATTTCAAGGATCGAAACTGGTTACAGTGACATGTTTTCCTGTGACATTGAGTTAGTGACATATAAAAGTGACATACAAATCTGGTAGTGACATATGACAGTGACATAAAAATCAGGCGGTGACATAAAAATTTCGCAATGACATTAAGATTTTCCAAAAATATGACCTTCTTAGTCACTTTTGTGTCCTTTTATAAAAATGGTCACATTTTTGGAAATTGGCTTTAATTTAGTAATATTCAAGGCAAAAAAGCCCCTAGAATATTATGCCACATAGTTAATTTTTCACACTAAGTGTAGTTTATGTTCGAAAAATGATTTTACAAATTACTTCGTATATATTATTTGTAGAAAATCAATTTTGAAATAAATGAGAAATTGTATCCCAAAATTATCTCCGTAGCAATGTTTGGGTAGGACTTGTCTCGGGCCGCCGCCGTCATCCGGCTGGCTGGACAGGTCGGGTCGAGTTCCGAGTACAGGTGGGTACTCGCGATGTGACACTGATAAGTCCGTATTTAGACAGGCTGAGTGTCGGTGTGGGGTTGGGGTGGCGGCTGAACAGCTGCAGTGCTGGCGGCAGGGATTTCAAGGATCGAAACTGGTTACAGTGACATGTTTTCCTGTGACATTGAGTTAGTGACATATAAAAGTGACATACAAATCTGGTAGTGACATATGACAGTGACATAAAAATCAGGCAGTGACATAAAAATTTCGCAATGACATTAAGATTTTCCAAAAATATGACCTTCTTAGTCACTTTTGTGTCCTTTTATAAAAATGGTCACATTTTTGGAAATTGGCTTTAATTTAGTAATATTCAAGGCAAAAGCCCCTAGAATATTATGCCACATAGTTAATTTTTCACACTAAGTGTAGTTTATGTACGAAAAATGATTTTACAAATTACTCCGTATATATTATTTGTAGAAAATCAATTTTGAAATAAATGAGAAATTGTATCCCAAAATTATCTCCGTAGCAATGTTTGGGTAGGACTTGTCTCGGGCCGCCGCCGTCATCCGGCTGGCTGGACAGGTCGGGTCGAGTTTCGAGTACAGGTGGGTACTCGCGATGTGACACTGATAAGTCCGTATTTAGACACGCATTTGATGTGTGTTGGGATTGGATTTTGATGGTTTTCCTAGCTTTAAGGCGTTGCAAGTCTCAATTTTAGCTCAAGTTATGTTTATCGGGCGTTGGTTCGAGTTTTGTGTCATTTGGAGTCAAAATGAGGATTTTCGAGTTCGACACCGGCGCTTGAGAAGAAATCGGGATGAGTTGAGAAGCATTCGAGGTGATTTGAGAGCTTTGGAGGCCACCGGGAGGTTCACGATGAAAAAGAGCTCTAGGATTGGCTACGGGGTCAAAAGACGAATGAAGCTTGAAAACGACGATCAGAATGACCTTCTGTCAATCGTTCAAGAATATCTCTTTGTAGAAATATCCAATGTACACGATTCAAGTTCCATATGAAATCTAACTTCAAGGACTACAAATCATATGAAGACACCTTTGCGAGAATCTGAGAGAAAGAAGGTGAAAACAGACGATGAAGTCAGATGATCTCTGCTGCGATTTCAGAATGACACATTCCACCGTTTTGATCATATCTCTTGATTGAATGATTCAAATCACATTCGGCAAATTGGGGTGGATAGAGGACTTCATTATCTACAACTTTCATTAAGAAAGCATAGCCAAATTCGGATGTGAAGTAGGCACGATCGTGCCCTCAAAGTCAGGCACGATCGTGCGTGAAGAGAAAGCATCGCGGAGTTACTGCCAGTCAGGCACGATCGTGCCTGGAGGGAGGCACGATCTTGCCTGCCCAAAATGCGCTTTTTTGCTCCGGAGGCACGATCGTGCCTGACATCCTGCCTGCCTCCGGAAATCCCAATTTAGCTCAAATTTCACCCGATGTTTCTATTTAAACAGCCTGTAAACCCCCGTTTTCCAGGGGGACCTTCGAGAGAGTGCCTAGCACGAATTTTAGAGGGCTTTTCAGCCTTGTTCATCAATCTTTTGGGATTCTTTGTAAGTTCCACCTTTTTAATTAATGACAATTAATTCTTTTTATTCCAATTCTATTGATTCTTCAATTATGAATTGTGAGTAGTTTTAATTAGGGATTTGGGATTGATGAAGGGGTTGATCATGATGTATGGCTAGATTCTTGATGGGTTAATTGCATGAATGCCGTTTAATATGTGATTGAATAATTTAATTGATATCTTTTGTAACCTGGAACCGCGGCTAGAATTACAATTGCTTGTAGAATAAATTAAGAGAGATCTAATTTATTCTAGGACACATTCACACACACTTAATCGTTCGATAAGAGATTAGTAGCGATTAAGGGTCCGTAAGCTCGCTCGTCTTGGCAATAATTTAGGATCCTGTCGCATGAGAGATCAGCCTGGTCCCCTAATTTATTGTACTCTACGCCGCGAGAGCGGTAAGAACTTAGTAGTGATTAGCTAGGCTCAATTAAATTAATTTCATGTAATTAGGCTTGATCAGCCAGAAATCTGGTTACCCCGGAATCAATCTATGTTCCCTTCGTCATTAATTAGAAAGAACTCCCTAGTTTAATCGTTTTATTCGCATTTTTATTTTCATACCAATCATATCTCGCACGACACATTTTTTATTTATTTATTTTTAATCGCTGAATTTAGTTAATTCTTAATTCCCTTTTGTCCGTCCCTGTGGAGACGATACTCGTACTTACACCACTATATTACGATCTATTTTAAGTGCGAGAAAACTCACATCAGACACCGCACCCGGATGTTCTTGAATTTGAAATTTGATACTATCGTATGTATTTGAATTTCCAAGCGAATAAAATCGTGTTACAGATTGATATATTTAATTAATGTGTGATTAATTAAATTATTTATCGGGCTCATAATAATGAGAATGGGCTAACAAATATTTAGTTGGGTCATCGTAATAATTATAGAAGCCCAATAAAGTTCCAACTAAAATTGATAAAAATGTTTGGACAACCCAAATGCTATTTTGACACAACCTACCAAAAATAGCAGGAATAATTGGGAGAGACTTTCTACACCCACTTAGGATTTTTCCTACATGACTTGTGGACTCTGTAATCATTTTGGACACACTTTGAGTGAGGGAGACGTGCAAGAGAAGAAGTCTCCAAGAGACAAAAACCCATACCCTACCTTCACATTATTATGTGTTTGATTGAGAAGGAATCTTCCTTATCTCATTACACACCATTCGGCCAGCACAAGGGAGAGGAGAGCTCAGAGAAAAAAGTCTCCAACAAGGTCCAAGCTTGAAGGAAACAATAGGAAAGGAAACCCAACACAAAAGACTAGGTTCTTGAGGTAAGAACACAACTTTTATTCATTAACTAGTTTTATGTTGTATGATTTTTAAGAAATCATATGGTGGGTTAAACATGAAGTTCTACACGTTTAAAAGTGTAGAATATTGTTATAAAGTGGTGGTATTTAACTTAGAAGAGTCGTGGAATTGATAGGAGTTGAAACCGCGAAAACTGCCACTCAAAAGGAGCTGTTCGTAGCTGCAGGCCACGAAAGCCGCCCACCTTTTGCAAAAGTCGACCGGCTTTTGTCTGCTGTCCAGATTTTTCACTTCTAATTGGTTTAGAACGAGGATTGATTAAAGGGCTTAACAAAGGCAACTATTGCAGCACTTCATAAGGTGATGATGACTTACTATAATGCTTATAATTAGTGAGTTAATTTCATGAGATTACCTAAGGTAATTAATTGTGTTTTTATGGATTATTAATGATTAATAATGCCTAAGAATGAGAAGACTATTGTCTATAAGGAGAAGGAGCATAATATACAAATTTAAAAATAAATTTGTGTATGATTATGTGTCATGATCATGTGGACTTGATAATGGAATTAACTATAAACCTTATGTTGAAATATACTTTTTACTTCATATAAGAATATATGAGTGACTAAAAGTTATACTTTGTATATTGATATGAACTATATTTTCAATGGAAAATTAGTTTGGAATTAGTCTATATGACTATGAATTGAAAGTTGGTTTTGTTGGAATTTATCCGACTAGTATTAAGATACTATTCGGGGTATTGGAATGAGATTATGCTAGAATTGGTCCTAAGGTTCGATTGTGAAATATTAAACCTTAAGTAGTCTTAAGAGATGCTAAGGTGGACATGTATGAACTTTAAGTTCTACTAAGGGTAGGCCTTAAGGGATACCCAAGATAAAGTGAATAATAAATAGATCCTAGATATAGGATTGGCCTACGGGTGTATTCGGTAGTCCTTGAGGATAGCCGGTTGAATTATAATAAATTGATCCTAGATATAGGATTGGCCTACGGGTGTATTTGGTAGTCCTTGAGGATAGCCGGTTTAATTATGGTAATAAGTAAGGACCATGCCCCTTCTCGACTCTAGAGAGCGGGGTTGGATAGCATGGACTTGCATCGTGATCACGGGTTAGGGTGGAATCCGAATCGGAGACCTCACGAGGCTCTGACAGCGGTAACACATAAGATAAGACTCAGAATGGGCCTTACCTTCCTACGGGATGATGAGTATGAGTCCAGGGGTGGGATGTTGGACTCCGGCTGATGGATAGTCTACCCGGGGGGTATCTTATCCGAGGGTTATTACGGGAATAACTTAGAGAGAAGTCAGAGATAATAGGAGGAGAGAGAGTCGATTTTATTAAATGAACTCGAGATGTGGAGTTGAGATGCAGATGATGTTTTACAAGGAGAAATGGGCTGCTATTTATAGCAGCAATAAATGCGATGAGGGGACACGTGTCAGTAATCCAACGGCCGAAGGGTCACATCAGCCGGTTGGCACCGGCAGTGGTACGTTCACCGCATTGAATGCGGTTGGCGGATGCGACGTGGCATTAAATGCGGTTGTTGGCTGTCTCCAAAAGGAATCTTCGATGATTGAGCTAGTCCAGCCGAAGGCTCCTCGTGTAGCCGAGGGCTCCTTGTATGGCCGAAGGCTCCTCGTGTAGCCGAAGGCTTGGTTCAGCCGAGGGCTTCCCCTGGTGCCGAGGGCTCAATAGTGTCGAAGGCTAATGTTCTCGCCCGTTTTCTCCCAGTAGCTTCTTACGCCAGAGAAGGCTATTCTGAGAGTTTTGGAGCCTTCGGCCAAGGAGGCCGAAGGTACCCCAGTGTGTATTCTGGGCTACTTTGAAGCTTGGGCCGTGGTATTTGGGCCTGAGTTGTTTCCTGAGCTCAATGGACTTGTGTAGGAGAAGTAGGAGTCTATGGGCCGGGGGTTCCTGGGCCATATACTCCATCACCGGCCTGAGGGCCCGATGAGGCCTCGGATAGCGGTGACAAGTCTCGTAAGGATGATAAGACCTATGGGCGGTGTCTTGCAAATGATGAACGAAATGGAATATAAGAAGGGGCCTCTGTGCCGACAAATTAATTAATTAACTTATTATGAAGATAATAAGGGTTAAAGAAGAACTATCATTATATTATGATATCACTCTATTTGAGGGTCTTAGAAATTGAAACATTGATTATACTTAGTATAGTTGTCATTGTACTTTTCAAATGCTTCAAAGTACTAACCTCCCCATCACAGGGGAGGCCAGCTCACAGTTTCAGGTAGAACTTGAAGGTTGCTACCATCGCTTGTTGCTTCGGGAAGATTCAAGGAGAGAAGACGTGGTTCGTGCTTCCTCCGTTTCCGTTTTATAAACAATTACATTCAATGCTAATAGATATTATTTTCTGAATGATTATTTGGGGGCTTGTATGCCCATGTTTGCAAGTGTGGCTTGAACACTTGTTATATTACTTCCGCTGCTTTAAATAAATATTTTACATTATGTTTGTTTATGGATGTACTATGTGTGAATGGTATTCAAGATGATGAGCACCACGAAGAGGGGTTGATCCGACAGAGCAAACGGGCGCGAAAAGCCAATTCCCGGTTAGCTGACTACGTGACTTAATGCTACGCAAGGGAGGGAACCTTAGCAGTTTTATTATAGCTATTATTCTGATTATTAATAATTATTATAAGTACTATTATTATTCATTTATAGCAGTAGCAGTAGTATTCCATTCTAATATGAAGCAGGCAGTAGCAGTCTAGGAGAGATTGGGATTTCTGTTAGAATCCTAATTGAAGTTTCTTTCTTTTGTACGTAGGTGTGGATGGCTATATATATAGCTCCACCATTAATTAATAAAATCATCATCTTTCTTGTTTGAAGCTTTTGGGTTTACTATCACCTTAAAATAGTTAATTGGTCTCCTTTACACCGTGAGTAAAGGTCGGAGTAATTCCAGAATACGGAATTCTTCATCAGTGGTATCAGAGCATTCTTTCCGGGGGAACGACTTATTCATCATGTCTAATCGGGAGCGTTTTGAGCAATTGGAAAACTCTGTAGCACATATCACATAAACGCTCAATACCCTATCAGTCAAAATGGAGGCCTTGCGCCGAAAAGGTCTGGGAAACGTTCTTCATCAAGTTCTTCATCCCAACACTCAAAATCCTCCAGGTCCAAACATACGCGACATAAGAAACGCAGGCAAGAAGAGTCATCATCATCAGCAACTTCCTCTAAAAGTGGAGGCACACATGACAGTACAACTAGCGCATCAGACTCAAGCAACAAGAATTCAGGTCCAGTAGGCCCTAAAACAGATCGATTTCGAGAGAACCTCCGAATTGATTTCCCAAAATTTTCTGGTAATGAAATAATGGTTTGGCTCGATCGAGTGCGTCAATACTTTTCTGTTAAAAGCATTCAGGGCTCTAGAAAAGTTACGCTGGTTTCCTATCACCTTGAGGGAGAAGCAAATCAATGGTGGTAATGGTTCTCTAATGACCAACATCACCGAAAGATTTCATGGAGGCGATTTGAATCTGGAATTTTACAACGCCCTTTGAACCCTCGGACTTTGAGAATTATGACGAGCTTCTAAGCAATTTAAAACAAGTGGGGTCTTACCGTGAATACCTGCAAGAATTTGAACGGTTATCCACACGAGTAAGAGGATGGACGGCCAGAGCCCTACTGGGAACTTTCCTTGGCGGGTTGAAGGAGGAATTATCGCTTGATGTTCGCCTTTTCAATCCTAGAAAATTGTCTGATGCGATGGAATTAGCTCGAAGAATAGATGAAAAACAACAACGCCTCAGAAAGATTCCCGCAGCCAATTTAAAATCTCCAAATTGGAAAGCCTCACAAACAGTGACATCGGGTTTAAATAATCCGAATGCTGGACTAATAAAACCATCCCGGAGGCTAATAGTGGAAGAGATGAGGGTTTGTCGAGCTCAAAATCTTTGCTACAATTGTGATGAGAAATTTGTGTCGGGCCACCGTTGCAAAGCGTCACAGTTCATTATTGAAGCTTCAGAGGGAGAAGAAGGTGAATTGGAAGGCGACACAAGTCCAGGGGTGGAGACCGAAGGTCTAGGGGAACCTCAAATTTCATTACATGATCTTGCCGGTGGCGTGGACGCTCATACTATGCGAGTACAAGGAACTCTCAACCATCACAAAATTAACATCCTTATTGATTCTGGCTCTACTCATAACTTCATTAATCAAGCAGTTGCGGCACGTATGAAGCTCGTAGTTACGTTGATCACTCCTTTTGCAGCAAAAGTAGCTAGTGGAGATCACCTTTGGTGTTCTGAAAAGTATGATCATGTTGCCCTCACCTTCCAGGGGTATACTTGCACCACCACTCTCTATGCTTTACCTATTACAGGGATGGACTTAGTTTTGGGGATGCAATGGTTGCGGAGTCTGGGAAAAATAACAGCAGACTACAACAATATGACGATGGAATTCCATTCAGACGGCACTAAACACATCATAAGGGCAGAATATCCCACTTCCACGCAACAGGTAACTGCTAATGTTCTGTGTGAAGAATGGAGACTAGGGGCTGAATTGTTCGTTATATCTGTAAAAGGTCGGACTGCGGCAGAAGATCTTGTTGAACAACCACATTCCGCTGACATCGAGGGTATTCTAAAAAAATTTAACCACATTTTGGAGGACCCAAAAACATTGCCAAACCGTCAAAGATTTGATCATAGGATACGACTGAGCGATGAGAGCGACCTTTCAATGTTGCTCCTTACCGATATGCCCACTTCTAGAAGGCGAAAATCGAAAAACAAGTTGATGAAATGCTTCAGGTCGGGATCATTCAACCTAGCACGAGTCTATTCTCATCACCAGTTCTATTAGTAAGAAAGAAAGATGGGTCTTGGAGGGTTTGTACAGATTATCGGGCCCTTAATTAGGTCACTATAAAAGACCGATTTCCGATACCGACAATTGATGATATGCTGGATGAATTGTACGGGGCTAACTATTTCTCTAAGCTAGACTTATGGGCTAGGTACCACCAGATCCGTGTGCACCCTGATGATGTACATAAAACTTCTTTTCGGACTCATAGCGGACATTATGAGTATCTTGTCATGCCCTTCGAACTCTGCAATGCACCTTCAACATTTCAGGCAACTATGAATGGCATATTTCGACCACATTTAAGGGTCTTTATCTTAGTTTTCTTTGACGAAATCTTGGTCTACAGTAAAACAAAAGTCGACCACCTCACTCATTTGAACTATACATTGAGCATACTGTCGAAGCATCAGTTCTACATCAAACCAAACAAGTGTTTCTTCGCCCAAAAAGAGGTAGAGTATCTCGGTCATTATATTTCTGGAGTTGGGGTTCACGTGGATCCACAAAAAATAGAAGCCATGGTCAAATGGCCTGTTCCAAGAACAATCACATCTCTACGAGGATTTTTGGGGCTCACTGGTTATTATCGGAAATTTGTAAAAGGGTATGGGCTCATAGCTCAACCGTTGACTCAATTATTGAAGAAGGGACAATTTGTGTGGAATTCAGAGACAACCCAAGCATTTGAAGCACTAAAAAGAGCAATCACATCCACACTTGTTCTGGCACTACCAGATTTCACTACGGAATTCGTGATTGAAACTAATGCATCTGGGGTTGGAGTAGGGGCAGTGTTGTCTCAGCATGGTCATCCAACTGCCTTTATGAGTAAAGCACTTGGACCAGCCAAACAAGCTTGGTCCACCTATGCAAAGGAGATGTTTGCTGTTGAGGAAGCCGTTCGGACATGGCGACCGTATCTGCTAGGGAGGCATTTCACTATATGTACTGATCAGAAGAGTTTACGACACCTGCTAGAGCAACGAATTACAACACCCGAACAACAGAAATGGATAGCCAAGCTTCTGGGATTTGACTATTCGATCAAATACAGACCGGGCATCACGAACAAAGCAGTCGATGCACTATCGCGTCGTGACGGACCAAGCTATGAAGAGTCAGTAGATATGGCAGCTATTTCAGGACTCGTGTGGGGAATTTGGGAAGATTTACGTCGACCAACGAACGCTGATCCATACCTGCAAAGGATTATGTTAGACCCCAGATTTTGATGAACTGTTTTGATGATGCCAAAAGCTTTTGTTATCCCCCCTCTATTGTAGCATTATTATAGGAGTCTTTGTTATCCTCGGTTGTAGCATCTTGCAGTTGTCTAGTACTAAGAAAATTATCTAGATGTGTCGTGCTCCTTTTTATATAGTTAACAAATAAATATGACTGGAAAACCATAAAATGCAATAAGGCAATATTGTATTGCCTTAAAAGGATATCGTATAAATCCAACCAGTTAAATTTATTTGTTACACACAATAACATCTCGTACAAATAAACTATCTATTTTAACTGGAAAACAAAATGCAATAAGGTAATTTTACCTTAATAGGAGTTGATATCCTACCAGTTAAATATTTAGCTTATCATGTTCGAAATACTAGATAAACCATACACTCAGAAGAAGAGTTCTTGATATTCTGTTCACTACAACAAAAAAAACAATGTAAATTCTATATAACAAAAAGAACACACTGGGATTCAAAATGAAATAAGGTAAAGTTGTCTTTATCTTAAAATTGGATATTTAAATCCAACCAGTAAAGTGTTATTTGATATATAGATAAATCAAAGTGAACAAGAATAGTGAACAACTAACTGGAACACAAAATGCAATAAGGTAATAACTTTTACCTTAATAGGATTTGTTATCCTACCAGTTAAGTTGTCCACAATACCTGCTAAACTACACAAGTACTTAAAAGTGACAAGAATTCCAATGTACAAACTATGTATCAGATTAAACATACTGGAACGATAAAATGCAATAAGGTAAAAATCATTTACCTTACATGGATATTTAGATCCAACCAGTATAGCTTTAATTTGGTACATAAGTTTAATCATGTCACTTAAAGAAAGTGATTAGTAAAATAAGTGACAAATTTTACTGTGAAATTTGTACCAAATAAATTGTACTGGAAAGAACAAAATACAATAAGGTAATCTTATTACCTTAATAGGATATTTCAAAGATCCTACCAGTACAAAATTTATTTGATACAAAATATTCCGAGTCACACATTTTACTACCTCACTACTTGAGCAGGTTCACGCACTCAGCTTTACAAGTGTAGTTGCAAGACAAGGCCAAAACACTCAGAACGCAAGAGGAGAGAAGACATCTGATTAGGTGAATAGTGAAGAGTTTCAGAATAGGCATGCAGCGATAAGAAGGCCTAAGGTATGGGTGTTATCTTCGTACAAAGCAAGTGGTCTTCAAAAGACAAATCCTTATCCTGCTCCAACACAAGAAGACGCAAGTACAATACTTTGGACGTCTAGGATTAAATCCTCTTAACCAACGGAGGAGATTAATCTACTGGAGATGCCTATAAAAATAGGCAGAAGCATGAGATCAAAGGTAAGTCATTGAGTTCAAAGCAAGTGGTTCAGTCATTACACTACGCATATCCAGCAAAGGAAAAAGTGCTTGACCACTCTGCTTTGACTCATGCTTCACTAAGCTCTTAGACTAGATCATTCATTATAACATTTATAGAGCTTAGGTTTTAGTTGGAGGTTAGATACTTCGTGAATCAATTCATGTTGTTGTAAACACTTAGGAGAACAGTTGTTCGGATCCTAAAGTGTGGTTAGATAGATAGAGTACCTTTTGATCCCCACTGGATCAATTGAGAAAAGTCTAAGGACTGAGTAACTTTGAGTGGTGTTATACTCATCGT